GTATGCTCATTATGCGTGCACCTTTTCGACCACGTAATGGACCTTCTCAGTTGGGCTCGAGTTTACCCACATGCTTCAGCACGTTGATCCTTTTCCATACTAGGTCGCTCACCTAAAATCGTCGAATTTCGACCTTCGCGGCCCGCATCCGGTGCTTGTAGGCTTCCACCCTGGTCGACGCCTACTCCCTATGCTCCTCGATAATGTCCTAGGCTGCGTATGCTAACTCTTCATTTTGCTCTTTATCATACGAGCTCGACCTCCGCTGTAACACCCCACTTTGATTTTAAAGAAATTCCGAACTTTCAAAAATCAGTAAAACATTTTCGAAACCATTTTTAAAATCATGGGCATTATTCACATTCACATGGATCAAGGCGTGTCTGATCCTACGGGGATTCATTACCCGATTTACAACATGGTTTTCATTAACCTGGTTCATAACATCTATCATGATATTCAGCTCAAAACATAACAGCATGAATAATCAATAACGACATGATATTCAATAGACACATACTCAAGAATATCCAAATCATCATAGGTTCATCAAAATATCCAGAATGCAATAATTCCAAACATAGGGTTGAAAAACCGTTTCAACATGGTTCTCAACATAGATTCATAAAATGCGGAAGCAAAAGAAATAAATCATTAACTACCCACTCGTCTTTGCCTCGCCATCCGTCATCTGCTTAACCTGCATCCGTGAAGAGACATGTGGGAGTGAGCACATATGGAACCCGCAGTGCTCACCACTATGCATATGAACAATATATAATATGTTAAGATGGTAAGGTCGCAGCATGAACATAAACAATAACAACATGTCTCATCTCCTACACAATATCACATCAATTCGCATTACTTCTGTGCACATCTATCGCTAGCCGCAGAACAGGGATTCATTACCCGAAAGAGGAAGTACATGCCATGCTACGGACATGGCCTTCCATATGGGGTTACGTACCTCACAAGGGCACGGCCATATCAGGACTTAAGGATATTGCCAAACAAGGGCACCGTACCGTAACTCGACGGGGACAACCATACCGACGGCCGTAACAGCTCACATCGATAAGATACATGCTCATATTCATACATAGATCATACCAATTCAACACATTTAAACACATATGACATAGACATTTTAGAATAACAAACCCACTTGGAAATCGAGGTAGAATATCACACTGAAATAGCAGGTAAGTAGGTCGAGAGCTCGACTCCTCAAACACCTACATTTAAGCAAGATAATAATCAATAATTTATTACACTACTCGGATTTAACATAAAACCCACACTTAATCAAAATTAAGGCTTAAGGGTTTTAGTCGGATTTTTCGTGGACTTGAAACTCTCAAAATTTTAAAAGAAAAGACTCGGACAACGAAAATAGAGTCTCGGGACTTGAAATAATTTTTCTCAGAATTTTCTCATTTTGAAAATATTTTTAAAATTGAAATCGGTATTATAAACGGGCTTCCATAACTCAACACTGGCTAAAAATAATTGATCGGACAAGTTGTCTGCAAGCCTTTGCCACGCGAACTGGGCCGTCTGAGAATGGGCCGCGTGCGCAAATAGTGGGCCGCAGAGGGCCTGCCAATGGATTAGACTCGCGGGCTTTTGGAGGGCTGGACGCGGGCTGAGTGCACAGAGAGACACCGGACCGCTCGCGGGCCGCGCAGCTGGGGGAAATAGAAAAGGAAAATGGGCTGCTGGCGTCGGGTTTCGATCACGAGACCCCACCCACACACTTGAGCGTCAAACATTACTGCACCACACGCCTCGTTGCGAAATAAAAGGAAACATGGAATAAAATACGACTTCAACTGGGAACAGAGGCTGGAAAGAAAACAAACAAACAATGGCAGAATTTTTTTTCCGGTGATAGATTTCCACGGCAACATCTCACAGCAACCGGTTTCGATACATCATAAAATTTTTGAAAACCATATATTTTCAAAGTTCGAACATTTATAAAAATTGAGTTTCTCGGGCCCAAAAAGAAACGACATAACCGGCTCGAAACCAAACGAGACGACTTGAAAAATAAAATCGAGACTCTGAATACGTCAAATCCACAGCAATAACAAAGATACTCGGTTTACAGATAAAACACCACTGCAAGGATCGATATTTTAGTAAACGAGAGTCTGATTATCCACGAAAAATACACGGAACACCAACGAACAAATACAAACCGATCAACAACCCAATTTAACGATATGACATCAATTCAACGAGCGCGTAACCAATGAATAATCATGAGTACGAATAATATAACAAGGAGGTTCGAAAAGGTTACCCGTCTTTGGAAATCAACAAGCTTTCCGAAAAACGGGTCAAATGAATGGAATGAACGGGACCTCAAACTTCAAAACTTCGAACACAACGATGCTCACAAGCAGACAGTGATTGAAAATTGACAATGAACGGCCTGCTGTGAACGAAGAAGAAGGCTCGCGGCGTTGGGGTCAGTGCAAAGCGACGGCAGCATGCTGCGCGTGTGAGAGGTCGTCGGTCGCTGCTATTGGCGCTGTGAGGTCGGCGACGGCAGGTCTGCTCGGAGGTGGGGTCGTCGGAGAAGAAGGTGCTACTGATTTGATTTTTTTTTTTTCTTATAAACTGATAGTTGATGCGATTTTAAATGATGAAGAGAGGAGATGAGTATGATTCTCGCTTGGCCAATATATAGGAACGACGAGCGATTCGTGCGAGGAAGATCACCCAAAAGAATCGCGCGGCTGTTGAACTGAAAGACTCGGTCTCACCCACGCGGAGAAGAAGAAAGGAAAAAGGGCCGCTGCTATTCAACTCTAACGGGTCAAGGGGTTTAATCAACTTGGGCTGAAATCATTTAATATATTGGGTCATGATTTAATAACAAAAGGCTGGAAAAATAAATTTGTTTGGGCTCACATAAACAACATAGTACATAGACTGGAATTTTCACAAAAATTGGGTCGAAAATAATATAATCGAGCTGAAAAAAATATATCCCGATAAAATGGGCCGAAGGAATGCGACGCGATAACAAGAATTTTCGATCGATTCGATTGACAACGAATAATAAATAATTACACGACTTATTATATTAATTAGACTACATCTAATTAAGTAATAATAAGCCTAAACGAAAATGTCGAGCAATTACCGGAATAAAATAAAATACGTTAATTCACATAATCCGAAAAAAATCTAATATTCGAACGGGTTAGATCTGATTTACGCGATTAGACCGAAATCGCCGAACGACGAATGTTTTACAATAGAACGATTGAGTACTTAAATACATAATTTAAGTAGACATCGCGACCAATAAAATAAATATATTCTTATAAATAAAATTCGATAAATAGAATCATCCGAGAAATTCTATAAATCGAACGGGGCGCTACATTTGCGATACCCACTCGATTTCCACCGACAACAATGCTTCCATATCATATGCCAGACTGAATGGTGTTTCTCCCGCGGTTCCTCAAGGTTGTCCTATACGCCCAAAGAACAGATGTGAGCTCATCGACCCACCTCCCCGAGGCCTTCTCCAATCTAGTCTTCGATTCGTTCAGTATTATTTGATTTGTGACCTCAACCTGACCGTTATCCTGGGGATGAGTGACTGATGTAAAATATTTGTCGATCCTCATGTCCTCGCACCAGTTTCTGATCGTCTTTCCATTCAATTGCATACCATTATCTAAGATCAAGACCTTGGGCACCCCGAATCGGAAAAGAATATTGTTATAGAGAAAGTGAATAACCTTGTCCTCCGTAATTTTGGCCAATAATTCGGCCTCGACCCATTTCATGAAATAATCCACAACATCAATCAAAACTTCCTCTGGCCCCAGCCATGCGACATAGGCCCCACTAGGTCAACGCCCCATTGTGCGAACTAGGAGCACTCATCATGGTCATCATCTCAGCAGGTTGATGAATAAGAGGTCGATACTTCTGACATTGTAAACACTTCTTCACCATCTTCACCGCATCAGCGCGCATCGGTGGCAAAACGATGGTTTAATGACTTTTTGAGAGCTTGAGTTAGAAACTGAACCTTTATCTTTATTTATAAAGGGCTTGATAACTTACTCTTCAGACAAGGAGTTTTCTTAATAACCAATGTCCAAGGAGTTCGATCCTTTACTATCAATGTGTAGATATACACAAACTTACTTGGATATCTCTTAAGAATGTTTACTAAACCTTTATAGATATTTAACTAATACCATACATCTTTAAATTGTAGTAATCAAGCTAAAGCTCTTTTGGACAGGTCGTACTCGATCTAACCGCTCAGATCGGTCTACCGAGCTATTCTGAGTGCTACATTATATATGGTATTTAATTGTTCTAAAGCACAAGCGGTAAGGAGATTGGCTGCTATCTCATGGACAAACCTAGATAGACAAGTGGAGTGATTGGTAGGCTGATATCTGTGGTATAAAAACTGAAAAATGCAAAGGGAATTTGGAAAGAAAGGAACAAATTGATTTTTGGGAAGAAATGGGTGAATATCCAAGTAAAGTGGTAGGAATTACTGGTTTTACAGGACCCATAACAAATTGTGACTGGTGCTTGGAATGAGTGGTTAGAATGACTCTCATGGTTTGGAGATTGGAGGACTAGCCTGGGATGACGACAGGAGAAAACTGAGGGCTTGGTGTTCTTTCAGGAACTATAGTTTGGGAATTAGCATCAAATTAGCTATGATTAATGCTAGTCAAGCCGAGTGGAGGAAGATAAAAATCCTGATAGGTAAAAGGCTAAGTAGACTGAATTTTCATTTGATGCTCATATCATAGCCGAAGATGTTTATTTGTTTCGTGATCTTTTTGTTGTAAATTTGTTGCTGGTGCTAGACAAGATTTGGTATAAACTGTAGTAGATTACCTAGTTTTGCTTTAGATAAAGAAATGTCTAGTATTTGGCTTGGTACAATTCCTGCTTGGATTTAAGTTAGATCCAATGA